AATTTAAACAAACACATTTAAAAGTATTGTTAAATTTTTTTTTTCAATGGGGATAAAAAGAGTTATTATGTTGTTTTTGATAAATAATATTTTTATTGTTCTTTTTAATGAGGGGGGTTATTTAGATATAGAATGAATTAAGAAATTCTTTTCATAAGGTTTTTGCTTTAAATGGAAGTTATTCAAAGAAAATTTAATTGAATTTTAGAAGAAACTTACATTGATTTTTCTATTTTCAACTAAAATCATTTTTCCTTTCATTTTAAAGAAAATTAGAGACATATTCCTTGGAATTTTTGGTTAAATAAAATAATTTATTTCATGTCATACCTTTCTGTAAGATGTTGAAAAATTAGTTTATTAAATACTTTCTTTAATGTTTAACCATTTTATTGTATTTATTAATTAATTCATATTAAACTTGTTAATAAAATTGATCTTACCTTTTTATAGAAAAAAAATGAATAATTTTAATTTTTATATATACTTGTAATTCCAATCATTTCAAAGAAAAGAAATAATAATGCAATGGTATTTTATTAATAAAAATCAACTCAATAAAACTTATATAACACTTTACTTTTATTTTACAATATTTGGTATTTCATCAATGGATATAGTATTGATAATGTTATTAAATCATACTTAGATTATTATTTATTTAATAAAATGGATTTAATATTATTAACCACCACTTTTCTGATGAAGAGTTATTGTATTGTTTTTATTTTTTATAACCAAATTGTTTTTTTTATCAAATGTAAATAAAATCAGAGTATCAGTATTATTGGATAATGTCATTGAACATTGTGAATATTAGTAATTATGAAATAAACATTCATTGGAAGAGAGGAGGATGAATGAAAATAACTATAAAATGTAGATTATGAATGGTAAAAGTTGAAATTGAGTGGAAAATGAATATGAAATGATAAGTAAAGAGAATGATAATAATGAAAATATAAATAAGTGTTAATGAGTAATAAAACATTGGAAGTAAAATGAAATGATAATAAATAGAAAAAGAAAATAATATGAATGAGAAGTGTTTCAATCTAAATTAAAAGAAAATGGAGAAAGTGAATGAAATAATTCAAATAACAACAAAAGAAATGAAGAAGAAAGAAGAGAAGAATGAGTGAGATATGAAATGAGATTGAGATATAATTTAAACAAAAAGTCAAATAAGAAATGAAAAAGAATAAACAAAAAGTTGAGTAAAAATATCAAACTAAAAACACAAAAATATTTTATTTATAGATATTTATCAATTCTATAATTTATTATTATATTATTATTATTGTTATTATATAATTAATGTTATTGTAAAATTAATAAAATGAATGATGTTTATTTAAAATAGAATGATGTTAAAAATAATACTTGAAATGATGTGTTATTAATGTATTTAACTCTGTATTGTTATTCTTATTATTTATTGATTTTATAATATTCAAATGAAATTAAAACAGATGTATAATGAATAACTAACTCATGAATGAAGTGGTAAAAGTTTTATAATCATTCAACAAAGAATTAACAATGATAGTAAGAAATATCAATAGTAATTATGAAGTGTTAAAGAAGTGAAAGAACAAGAAAGAAACAACAAATAGAAAATGAAAAAATGAAGAATATCTAATACAATAAGTTATTCATCCAATGATGATTTAAATGTTAATACATTAATATTTACTAAATAACATCTCATAACTATTATTGAATATTCAAAATGAAATAACAATTGAAGATATGTTAATAAGAAAATATACAGGAAATATTCAATATAAAAACCACCATATGAAACAATGTTCCAATATAAAGACATCACTATGATATTTAACAAACAAATAATGCCTAAAAATGAATGACAATATCACAAAATAACAGACATATACGTATTAGATAAAAAGAACAAAACTGGTTTATTATTTGATATGACTAATATTGAATATCACAATATGAATGAAGATAAATGAAGAATAGAATGAAGTTCATGATGAAAAATCAGAGATGAAAAATGAAAAGAGTAATAAAATGAAAGAAATGAAATAATAAATAGAGAAAGTATTAAATTAAATACATAAATAAACATTGATAATATAAAGAAGTTAAACCTAATTTCATTAAAACATGACTAATGGTATGAAATGTTGATTCTAATCCAACAAAACATACTCCATAAAGCTGTTATGAAATAACAATTGTATAAAACTCATATCTGCTGCTTCAAGAACAATAAAAACATTTCTATTAATACTTAATTAATTGCTTTCTTGAAAGTCTTCATTTACTTCTTAGCTCATAACTAATTTATCCTTTCTTTATTAAAACAAACCTTATTTGATGTTTTGATAATATAGATACTTAGCATATCAGTCAGTTCAAATATTTATTCAAATATATTAAGTGTTTGTCATTTGTGAAATCTCCATTGATTCAGCAATTACTCTAACAACTCTTAACTCCTTATCTACATCATTTCTAATCAACAAGATGTAATAAATCAAATTTATTACCATCAAAATTGGGATAGACAACACTTACAACACCTCCTCAACCACAACCTCAGGTGTATTGTAGAGTTTATAACCGAATATGAACCAAAACCATTTCCTACTATTGACATAGAATGAATATCAATAATGCTTTTTATTTATGGGTTTTGTTATTAGATTCTATGAAATGTAAATTCTGTATTGTATAAACCTTCTTTGTCATTCCAAACGCAGTTATTATCTTCTGTACCAATGACTGTATTTGTGATATTTTGCTTTTATCAATTATGTTGGTTTATAAGTGAGGTATTAATACTCAAATAAAAACAACTTCCTTCTTAAACCTTTTTCTTTTTTAAATTTTATCAAATCTGAAAATACCAATAAAAATAAAATGTGTAATAAAAATGGCTATTAAAATTAGTTTAATACCATGATTTTCCTGCTGAGTTCAAAACCTTGTCTGAAACCTTGTGAAGGTATAATTCCTTAAGTGCTTGTCTAGCTGGTCCAAGATATTGTCTTGGATCAAAGTCCTTTGGATGTTCTGCAAGATATCTTCTAATTGATCCTGTCATAGCAAGTCTACCATCTGAATCAATATTGACTTTACAGACAGCACTCTTAACAGCTTCTCTAATTTGGTCTTCTGGAATACCAATAGCTGATTCTAATTTTCCTCCATATTGATTAATAACAGCAACCCATTCTTGTGGAACTGATGATGATCCATGAAGAACAATTGGGAATCCTGGAATTCTCTTTTCAACTTCATGAAGAATATCAAGTCTAATTCTTGGATGCATTCCTGGTTTGAATTTGTATGCTCCATGTGATGTTCCAATTGAAATAGCAAGTGCATCTACTCCTGTGTCTTTAACAAATGCTTCAACATCCTTTGGATCAGTAAATACATGTTCTGCTGCTGCAACATCATCTTCAACTCCTGAAAGAACTCCAAGTTCTCCTTCAACAGTAACTCCAAATTTATGTGCATATTCAACAACTTGTTTTGTTAATTTAACATTCTCTTCATATGGAAGTGCTGATCCATCAATCATAACATTAGAGAATCCGTTATCTACACATTCTTTACAAATTTGGAAGTTAGCTCCATGGTCAAGGTTAAGTGAAATTGGAACACCTTTATGTTCTGGATCAATTTCTTTTGAATATTCAACAGCTCCTTTAGCAAGATTTCTCAAAAGAGTAGCATTAGCATATTCACGTGCTCCTTTTGATACTTGAAGAATAACTGGTGATTTAGCTTCAGTACATGCTTGAATAATAGCTTGCATTTGTTCAAGGTTATTGAAGTTAAAACCTGGAACAGCAAATCCTCCTTTAATAGCATGTTCAAACATTTCTTTGTGATTACAAAGTCCAAGTTCTTTATAGTTAACAGTCTTAGCAGCCATTTGTAAAAATGAAATGAATATTTTATATACTTTTCAGTTTTTATAATAATGCCCTTGTGTAGACACGTAGAAATGACTGTGAATAAGAAAATTTTTTTCCCTTCATTATTTTTGTTTTTCTTAAAGAAATTTTTTGTGAGAAAGTGAAGAATTTTGTTTTTAATTCAAAAGATATTATTTTTATAGTTAAGATTCTTATTAAAATATTATATTCGTTAATTCTTATTCTTTTTCTAAATTCTCTTTTGATAATTGAGACAGGGTTTTTCTTATTTCCTATGGTCCATTGTTATAGCCTTTCAATGTTTTTAGTCAATACCAATGACTTTTTTGAGGTAGTTTTAAGTTTATTGAGAGTATTATTTTCTTTGTTTTTACAAAATTTTGAAGATTAAAAAGTAATTTCTTCGATTTGTATTTTTAATTCCTTTCTTTAAGAAGTTACTTTTTTTAATGGAATTAATGTTTCAATCATTTTCTGTTTAATAAAATTAATTAAAATATTTAAAAGTTAGTTGAATATATCTTATTATTCTATTAATTATCTAAGACTTATTTTCATTATATTGTATTTGAGACTGTTGTTCGATTATGACGACTTTTTTATTTATCATTAATACAACTTTTATAATATTTAAATATTAATTATATTACTTATTTAATACAGTTGTAAAAAAGATTAATTACCATAAATTTAATAACATAAATAGTTGAACCTTTTTCCATATGATTTATTTATGAAGAGAATGATAATCTTTTTTATGGTTCATGGATAAAGTAACTAAAATAAATCTGTCTATTTATATTAAAATAACAAATATTGTAATAGACATTAAGTTTTATTATTTGATTTTTTTGAATAGAGATATTCAAAGTTTATTAATCAAAGAAGACTATAAAGTTCTTATTGATTAATACTTAAAAAAATGTCAGCTCATTTTATGCTTCAAAAGAAGGAACAATAATAATTAAAATAATTGAGTTTGAATGAATTAGTAAAAAGAATTGTTTATATTAAATAAATAAACAATTGAAAACTTTTAAAATAATCATACTTAAATTGAATGTCTTTTAGACACTAGATTCATTGAGAAGATACAAAAAAATCTGAAAATTCATCTTCAAAGGTGTCTTTTTGTTTATTCTCAGTTGCTTTTTGTTCGGTAGAGTTAAGTTGTTGTGGTATAGGTTGGTTGGTGTCATTAATTGGTTGGACTTTAGTCTCTTCTTGTTTTGTATTTTCTTGTTGATTTGTTTGTGCTGGGACTGATGTAAAATCATCGAAAGAAAAAATATCATCAGAACTTTGGTTTGGCTTTGCTGAAGATGAAGAAAAATCTCCAAAATCAAACAATGGAGATGTTGATGTTTGATTTATTTTAGGAGGAATAGACTCAGACTGAGATGGTTTTGGTGAAAAGACATCAGTTGTTTCTTTTTGTACGTCTTTTGGTTGGTTGACAGGTTGTTCAAGAGGTTTTTCTGAAGGTAAAGAGGATTCTGTAAAGTCACCAAAATCGTCAAAATTTACTTCAGTAATAGAAGGAGGTGGGGTTGGTTGGCATTGTGGTGGTGTTAATTTTTCTTCTTTGATAAATGTTTTTTGGTTCATATCGTCTTTTGGCTGACTCTCAACGCTGGACTGTGGAGAATGTAATGGTACAGCCTCAGGATTTTGTTCTTGGACGTTTAAAGGTAGTTGTTGTGAAGTGCATGGCTTAATGTCTTCAAGGTCAAATAGAGTCAAATAATCTTTTTTTGGAGGTTTTTTCTGATCATCTTTTTTTATTATATCTTGAGAAGTAATTTTTTTATCATCTTTTATTTCTGTATCATCTTTTATTTCTGTATCATCTTTTATTTCTGTATCATCTTTTATTTCTGTATCATCTTTTGTTGTTACTTCATTTTCCTTAGCTTCTGTTAAACTTTCAATACTATCAGTAACAAAATCTTCTTTTAATGGTTCCACTGATTCTTTTTGAATTATAGTTGGTAGGTCTCCTTGATTTTCTTCAATTAGATCTTGGTCCTTATCATGATTTTTTATGTCATTCTGTTTTGGGGTTTCATTAGATTTAGTGTGGATAATAAACTCATTTTCTTTTGGTCTCAAATCTTGAATTTTTACATCATCAACATCCATTAGCACAAACCCACAGTCCTTACATTCTCTTGTTTCTTCTGTTTCATCTTCAATAACAAACCCATTGTCTTGTTCGAGTTTTTCTTTTGTAGTCACCAAACTAGGTTCTTCTTTTGGTTCTTCTTCATTAGAACTAAACATAAGAGTTTTTGATTTTTTTTCTTCTGTAGTTTCAGTTTCTGAAGCAGGAACTGATTCTTCGTTACTTTCTTCTCCAATTAAATCAAACATAATAACAGTATTTTGAGGTTGTTTTGGTTGGTTAGTATTAATACTAGATGATGTGTTATCAGCTTTCTTAACTTCTTGACTAGAAGTATTGTTCCATTCATTAAAGAAGTTCATCTTTTCTGTGGATGTCTTTTGGTCATCAACTGGTTTTGCTTCAACAAATTCTTCAAAGTCAAAGTCGTCAGTAGGAGTTTGTGTATTAACAAACTGAGGAACTGTGACTTGATGAGAAGAGTTTGGAGAAATAGGTTTTGTTGGATATGGATGTAATGTAATTTGATTAGTAGAAGATGTTTTAGGAGGTGGCTGAGAAATAGTATTTGTTGGTGTAAGTTGTTGTTGATTAATGGATGTGTTAATAGGTTTTGGGTGTTCTTGAACTGATGTGTTTTGAGAGAAGTCATCACTTAAGTAAAGGTCAAGATAATTAATTTTTGGTTTTGTTGCTGGTTTTTCTACAAGATCGTTTTGAGTTATTTTTGAAGATGATTGTTTATTTTCATTTTCATCTTCACTTTCAAAGCCAAAATCATCGAACACAGAGTTTTTATCTTTTTGTGGTTCTACAAGGGTTGTAGTTTGACTTGAAGGAATAACATTATTTTGACTAGACAATCTTTTTTGTCTGTTTTCTGAGACTATAGCAAACATATCATTTGTTGTATCTTTTTTTATTGGTTTTTGTTGTAAGATAGGCTGTTGCGATTGTTGAGTAACTTGTTGACCAACAAAATCACTAAAATTATCATCATCAAAGAAATTTGTTATTAATGATTGCTTTGGTTGTGATGGCTGCATAGGAACAGCGACTTGGTGTTGATTAAGATAAGGGTTAAAAGTACTTTGTTGAAATTGAGGTTGTTGAATATATCCTCTACCAGAATATTGAATAGGTTGTTGATAAAAAGGAGAATGATGATACTGTTGTTGACTTTGTTGAAGGTACATATTGTATTGAGTATTATATAATGCACCAAGATTATATTGTCGTTTTCCTTGTTGCATAAGAAGAAACAAACCAATAAATTATTTACAGATCTAATGAACTGAATTTAGTTCTTTCTAAAAATTTTCTAAAACGATATAAATAAAAAAGGAAATGATTAAGAATCAGTAATCCAATAACTTTTAGGTGTTATAATACAATGTCATAAAGTTGTTTCAATCAATTTTAATGCTTTTGTAACTAAGGCTGTTGGTGTATGTAAACAATTATCCATCCATCCAGCTTCAAGAAGATGTTTACAAGAAGGACAATAATGATGATGTTGTACCCAATTAATGATACAATTATCACAAAAAGAATGTCCACAAGGAAGAGAGACGTTTACATTTGTGTCATAACAAATAGGACATATTTCATCTGTTTCATTAGATTCTATTGTTTGATTAAGTATTGGTTGTAATGCAAAATAAATATGAACTAAACGAGTTCTATTAATTCTTAATGTTTTAAATACATGATTATTTTTTGGAGGTGGGGTATATCGTACTTCATTATCCTTTGAATATTCAATTCTTCCTTGTGAAGAATTATATGTCACAGTCCATGATGTTTTAAGACGTTTTTGTTCTAACTAAGATATTAATCTCATTCTTTCTATTTATTAAAACTGCTTTTTACTAATCATTTAAATAAGTCAAACCATCAAAAAGTCTGGTGTAGGTGGTGCAGATGAATATTTAATTGTTGGAACTGTTTCATCATAATAATATGTATTTCCTGATTCATCTATCCCCGCTTTCCAATGTTCTTTTAACATTGATGTATAAGAAATAGCAATGTCATTATCTGCTAATGCATAAACAACATACCGAATCCCAAGTAATTTGGAAGGAAATTTGGAAAAGAATACTGTAATAGTTGAACACATTCTATTAACATCATTAGAAATAACTGGTTTTGAAGGTTCAGCACCCATAAGAAAAAGATAAAGAAATAAAAAAAATAAGTTCTTTTTTTCCCCTTTTATTATTCAACAGAATTTTTAACAAAATAATAAGAAAAAGTGAATAAAAAATTACAAAGTTTTATTGATACCATTGAAGGAAAAATAATCGTTTTACTGCAAAGTTTTCTTTATTTCCAGTAAACGCACTAACATCAATAGCATTTTCATACTCAAATTTAAATTCAGGATTTAATGATGAGTTGTGTTGGTTTAAAGGTGGACGTAATGTAAAACACTGATAAACATTATAAAATGAAGGATCTTTTTCTTTGTCAGAATAGAATGAAATTGACCAATCAACACCTGGAGAATCTTGTTTAATTAACCATCTTGTTGGTCCTGCAAGTCTATTTCTATTTTCTAATGAAAATACAAACATATCAGGATCTTTTACTGTAACAAATGCTTTCTTTGGTTTTTTCGGGAAAGTGTTATGATGAAACGAGCCAAATACTGCATCATCGTCAGTGATAATAAGTCCCATAATATTTTTCTTTTCATATAATCGTTTTTGAACAGAATGACGAGTGAATTTATTTTTATTAGAATCATAAATAATTTGGATATGATTAAATCCTGTCCAATATTGAAGGGTCTGAAAATGTTTTGTCATTAAGGAAGTAAAGAATGTGTCATTGTATGTTAATTTGATATCTTCCATTAAATGAAATGATGTAGGTTGTCTAAGTTCATTTGTGTTTCTGGTATATGAAGATATAGTAACTCTTGTTGGTACTCCAGATGATAATTCATCTCTAGAAGCAAATGTTAAATTTCTTAACCTTCTTTGTTTTAATGGTGAGACAGGTTTTTGTTGAGTTACTGGATTAGCAAAAGGGTCAATAGTTTTTGTTTCATGTAGTTGAGTTAATTTATCCTGACTTTGATGATTAGGTATTTTAGAAAACTCAGAAGTATCCTTTTTTTCTTTCATAGCCTCATTAGGACATGAAGTTTTTGAGTGAATACTTTTTCTTTTATACCCTGTTTTAGGGAAATATTCATCAATTTTAGACTTATCATCTATTTTTTCTTTCAGTCCAATGCTTTCTTCAATCTGATTATTCTCAATATCCTTACTATTCTGTTTTTCATCTACTTTCATTGTCAAAATCTCTATTTTTTCTAATAGTCCATATAAAATACTTCTCATCTTAACAACTTCATATTCAGAAGTTAAATTATTAATTAATCGTTTAATATCACTCATTTTTTCTAATACTTTAAAAGTTTTGTCTATTCTTTTTAAAGAAAAAAAGAAATATAAAAAAAAAATTTCATGAAAATATTAGACTAAATTTAGTTTAAAGTGAAAAGAGACTTTATTATCTATTTCAAACCAATCAATTACAAGAGTGCCGATTAGAAAGAACAGAGTGTGATGACTGTTTAATCAATTTTAGTATCTTGTTGTTTTATTTTAGATTTTTGACAACAAGACCTAATAGAATCAATCACACTTTCAATAGTGTTATTAATGAATTGTAATAAAATAACAAAAGTAAATTGGATTTTACCAGGGAGAGCATAAACAAAAATCATTCCTGGTATCCAAATAAATAAATAAGCAGCTAATGCAACTGGATATTCTCTAAAGACAAATCTTTTCCATCCCATAAATTTAGTCATTTTAATTATATTGAAGTTAAGGCTTCTAAATATATAGAACATTAAATTAGCAGGAATTAAATAAGCTAAACTATAACAAGTTAAGTCAGTTGCTAAAAGCATTGTTGTACGAATAACTTTATCATTTATATTACCCATCATTTTATTATTTAATTCGATCCAAATAAATTCTACAAGACCAGAATATCCGAAGTATATAATTGTACCAAGTATTTGAATAACTAACTTTTGTAATGGAATTTGAAGGAATAAAATTTTTATAAGTAATGGAATAAATCCACTAAATATTATTGAAATTACAAAAGCATAAATAAGAGATATTCTTTTTTGTGTTTTAGAAACTTTATCAAAGAAATCAACTTCTGAAGAATCAACACCATCATAAATCCCAACAATTATTGCTCCTACAACAATAACACAAATAAATTGAGGAATAGCAAAGAGTAATGTTTTAAATATAATTGGAATAGTTTCTTCCATTGGAAATTCAATTGTTTCATCTACTAGAACTTCAACATTAACAAAAGGTTCAATATCAAGAGAAGTGGCATGTGTATTTTCTTTTTCAGTTTCTTCTTTTGTTTGTAATTCTATTGGTTTATCTGATTCTGGAAGTGGAGAAGAATTTAATTCTTTTGTAGGATTAATAGTAACTTGTGCTTGTTCTTGAATTTCTTCTTTTTTTTCTTCTTTTAAAAGAGAAGAAGATGAAGAGTTTGTTGACTCTTCGTTTTGAGGGAGAGAAGATGATTCTGAGTAATTCATATTTACCAATATAAGTTTTTTAGATGAAGAATAAAACCATAGTAGGTCATTTTAAAGTATTAAATCAATTTGTATGTCATTTTAACAGGGGTTTTTTTATTAATTCATAAAATAACATATTTTTATTTTATCTCATTATTTTGTGTTTTTTAAAAATAAAAAACTTGAAAATAAAAAGAACTTAAAAAATTAACAAAAATGAAAATTAATAAATATGCTATTCTTGTTGATAACAATAAGGAAAAGAAAGATGTTGCTGAGATGATTTTATATCTTACAAAAAATAGAGTCTCAAAAACACTTATTCGTGTTTATGATATTAGTGAAGAAAAAGGAATATTACAATATATAAAACAAAAAAAATTAGAATGTCCTCTTTTATTTTTATGGGGAAATCTTTATGGAAATCTTCAATTCGTAAAAGAACAAAACGAAAATGGTATCTTACGTTTAGCGTTATTAAATAACCCAAATAAAAAGAGTAAAAAAAAAGGAGAAAAAAAGAATGGGAGTGAATTTAGTTTTAGTCCTCTTATTAAAGAAGAATATGATGAAACCCTTTCAAAAGAACAAGCTGAAAGTAAAACAAAATTACAAGAATCAACTAGCGTTGATACTTCAAAACAATCAAATGATTTAAAAACAACTGAAGAAAAACAAATATCATCAAATAATAATAATAATGTTGTTATTCCAGAATGTGAAAGTAATTCTATAAGCAACGAACAACCTCAACAACACCAAGAAAATCAAGAAAAACAAATATCTCAATTACAACCAACTAAAGAAACAGATCAGTCTAAAGAAAAAATAGAAGAAATAAAAGACCAAAGTTTACAAACAGACTACAAAGAAAAATTGGTTAACGAAAAGGATATTAATAAAGAGTCTTTTGAGCAAAGTCTAATCAAATTAACTGAATCATATACAAGTGATTCAACTGAAGAAACAAATCCAAAGGAGATAGTTATTATTGATGATTATGAAAATCAACAATCTGTTCTACAAGAAGATGAAATGATTGACCTTAATGTACCTCATCCTGAAGCACTTAATTTTGGTGATCGATGGTTGAATGCTTGTGAATGGGTAATTAGAAATATTAGTCAGTCATCTCCAGAAAGAAAAAAACATATGGATGAAGTTGTTTTAGAAAAGCAACCAGATGATATTGATTATTATGTCATAAGAACAAATTGGTATTGGAGACATCAAATAAGAATTATGAGATTTGGAAAAGAACATTTTTATAGATTAGATGAAACGTATCATGTTAAAGAATCATTTAGATATGAAGATGTTAAAGAAATTGTTCAAACAGATGAAGAACATCTTGTTATTAAATTCTTAAGAAATTCACAACCACAATATCTTCAGTCTAAACTTGTCCACCAAATAATAGTTACTTTAGTTAGTCATCTTACTCAAGATTATACAATTACCAGAATTAATTAATTATTTGATTTTTCTCTGTTTTGTACTTCTTAATTATGAATTTTTAGTTCTATTAATGTTTTGTTAATTCATAAATGTCAATATTATTTAGCATTGGTATTTTCCTAAATTCTTTTAATTAATTATTAACTGGAGTTTCTGTAACACAATTCTCATCAAACATGTTTTTTCTTCTGAAAGAAGAAATTTTGATTTTTAGTTTGTTCTTTTATACTATTTTAATTCATTTCTTTTGTTTTTTGAATCATTTATCAGAAAGAAAAAGCGACATTAAAATATATATTCTATTTAATATATTTAACAGTGTTTATAAAAATAGTACAACAAATTTATATTAACGCCAATTGTTATTATATTAATATAAAATATGCTTCAACAATTTACATTTTTAAGAATAAAAGCAAAAATAAAACAATAATTTTTTTACACTTCCAAAAATAAAGCATATTGTCTATCTTATCATTAAATTATTAACTTAAACAAATTTAACTATTGTTTATTTTACAGACACTTAGGCAAAATTTGAATTTGTTTGATAGTAAACGAAAATAATAAAATATACAAAAACAAAAGCATATTATTAAATACAAGTATGAGTCTAATCATCAAACGTTAATTAAGTATTAATAGAAATGTTTTTATTGTTCTTGAAGCAGCAGATATGAGTTTTATACAATTGTTATTTCATAACAGCTTTATGGAGTATGTTTTGTTGGATTAGAATCAACATTTCATACCATTAGTCATGTTTTAATGAAATTAGGTTTAACTTCTTTATATTATCAATGTTTATTTATGTATTTAATTTAATACTTTCTCTATTTATTATTTCATTTCTTTCATTTTATTACTCTTTTCATTTTTCATCTCTGATTTTTCATCATGAACTTCACAGAAATACCATGATTTTTAAATAAAAATAATCATTACATGAAACAAAAGAGATTAAATGGAATAAACAATATTATATATTAAATAATATACACTAAAAATGTTTAATAATTGTCAGATAGTCAATAGATATGATCACTTTGAAAATAGACATTGGTACAATTGTGAGAACAATAAAAATTATAATCAAAATTATAATTATCCTAATAGAAGATGTAAACAATATCATT